GTCTTCCCAAGGTAGTCTCTCCTGTCCTCTGAATGCTCTCTGTCTCCCTTTCTAAATTCCTTCCAAGCTATATACTTATAATATACAACCTCCCTCATTTGTATGCTACTTTAAACAAAAGTGTCTGCTAATTAAATTAATGTAAATGTATGATTAATACTGAATATTTTGTAATAATAATAATTTAACCTTTATTGTCCCTCATGGGGAAATTCTTTTTACGCCTCCATCAACTTGCTCTTTGTAGAACAAGCTGTCTGTGAAGGGCAGCCACCTGTTGGGGCGCCCAGGGAGTTGGGGGTTAAGGGCCTTGCTCAAGGACCCACAGACATGCTGAGGCTGGATTTGAACCGGTGACCTTGTGATTACAAGCACACAGGCTTAGCCCACTGAGACACACGCTGCCACATACATTTTTACGTAAACATTTTCATGACAAAATTTTATTTACTGCCATTATGGTGTGTAATTTGTAACTTTAAGCAAAGTATGAATGAATGTTACATTTATGTAGCGTTGTTCAGGACACCCAAAACACTTTACAGAGGTAATTGGTAGCCATATCAACCACCACCACTGGGCAGCACCTACTGGATGATGCGACTGCAGCCATTCTGCACCAGTACACTCAACACACAGTAGCTTAGGTGGTGAAGGGGCAGGAGAGAATTCACCAGTTAGAAATAGGGGATGATTTGGAAGCTAGATTTGATAGGGCCACAGTGGGCAATTTAGCCAGGAGATCGGGGTACCACCCCTACTCTTTTGAAAGATGCCCAGGGATCTTTTATGACCTCAGAGAGTCAGAACCTCAGTTTTACGTCTCATCTGAAGGACGGCGTCATCTTTACAGCACAGTGTCCCTGTCACTGGGGCATTGGGATCCACATAAATCACAGGATTAGCACACCAACATCTCATCCTGCAGCAACCCAGCTTTCCTAGTTGGTCTCCCATCCAAGTACTGGCCAGGTCCACTGCAATCAGTATAAAAAAATTTAAGTAAGAATCTGCCAAAGGCATTATGGAGAGAAAGATGAATTTAGAATTCTGCCACTCAAAATCTATTCTACATCACTGGAAAGAAGCTGCAGATATTATCTGAGAGCAACTGTACAGTGTGACAGCTCCACCAATACACATCTTTCATCTAGCAGTTCAGTTTCCAGTTGGCACCTTTCCAGGTGTCTTAATGTAATTGTTTACTCTTATTCTCTGACTGCGTAAGTTGTACTGATAGTTATCCACAGGGCAGGACTTGGGGTTGAGCCTAGTGACCCAGTATCTCCCTCTGGTGGCCATTTGCATACAGCGAAACCATAGGAAAGTGAATTCCATTCAAACACAATGTAATTTCTGTGTTCTTAACTCTCCTAATACCGTTTCCTTAACCAGAAGAAGAAATCTTTACATAAACCAATCTCACCTTCAATTTTATTTAAATTATTCCCTGATTTGTTTGAGGATTAAACTATATAGCCCCCCCCCCCAACACAAACACTCACTTCCTGTTCTGTCCTAGCTGCATCCAAACATCTGACAATTCAGCACGAACAAGAGTCCATTTCACTCATTGAAATGGTTCTCAGAGCAGCCCCTCATTGACAAGAATAATCATAGTAGGTATAGAAATAGAACAAAAATTCATTCATGTTTCTTTCAACAACTTATCCTGGACCAGTAGCCTTTTCTAGCAGCATATGGCACAAGGCTGGGCCACATGCCACACAGGATGCCAGTCCACTTTGGAACAAACACATTCCAGACAACTTAGAGACATCACTTAGCCTAAGTTCAAGTCTCTGGGCTGCAGAAGGTCACCAGAGAAGCCAGGGCATACATCACGCACAAGCAGCGCAAAGGTGGGATTTAAACCCCTATCCGGGGTGTGTGAGGTAACAGCACTACCCACTGAGGCATCAAGCGAGACTTAGAACAGAGGGAAACTAACCAAGGCATTTACGGCACATGGGAATCCCAAATTAGCACTTTGCAGTGCTATTGGTATTTTATTCATCTTTTTTTTCCAAGACACCTGAAACATGCAGAAGAAAGTATGCGAGTATCTGATCAAAGATCTGGTCAAAGCTGTCATGTGTTTACGTCAGCCTGCAGGTGGCCACATTTTACACAGGCTTCCCGTTAAGACACGCCCCCTAAGGTTGTTATGAAAGGAAAATGAATCCTGTAGATTCAGGATTCATGATGTTGGACAAATCATAAGCTTTATGTGCTAAAGCTGTGCTTATATTCACAACCTGAGGATCGTACATGATGCTATTTCATTCTCTCAGATTTCCTGGGTGTCAAATAAAAAACAACCTCTCAAAGTTCACGTTTTTCCTGGTAACTGATCCTTGTTGCTATACCCACTCAGATGCCTCAGTAGTCTTATCATCATCTTATAGTTTCAGGCAACAACTTTTAGCTAAAGAAATGTTTCAATATGACTTTTTCTGTAGTGGGGTCTACACAGGAAGGAAAGAGTGCATTTCCTCAAAATCTGAAATATAGTGCTGGATATACGTCATGTTTACTTAATGGCGTGAAAAGAAAACATGTCTCAGTTCCTGTTTCGCTGCCTTACACGCCGTTGATGAAAGAGACCGACTCTCAGTAGTTTACATTTTTGTACTGTGTAGGGATTTTTTGTCCACCACTAAAAAAAAAAAAATCATATGACCTTTTACCAAGAACACAACAGAAAGTGCTACCAGATCTGCCTGCAAAATCCATCCCCATGATTTTGAAAACCACAGAGGAGGCCCAAGAACTGGAATCCTCACTTTTAAATCTATCCCCAGGCCTGATGCAATCCGGGGGCCTAAGGACTAGTAGCAAAAGCGAGGTCACGCCCCCAACTGCCCCTTGGGCGGTAGTGTGCATCTCTGATGGAGGTGATGGAGCTCCTAAGCTAAACAAGGAAAAAGGCAGTGGGACCCCCTAGCTGGCTCGGGGGGGGGGCTGTGGCCTGGGGGCTGTGGCCTGGGGGAGAAACAGGCCACAGCCAGGTTACACAGATACCAGACAATCAACCAATTATGGCGTGAATCAGAGAAAACCAAACCTGGCACATCATCTGCTTCTATGGTGCCCAAGAGGGGCGCCCTCAGATCTCAGGTGTACGTTGAAGATGGGACCATATCTGTGAAAGTCCGCAAGGTGTTTTTGCCACTTTTACATAGCAGCAGCTTCTGCCTAAAGCAACATACAAGTCAGGCAAATAGCACATTACAAACATACTGCCGTTATGGAGTCAGCTAAGCCTAAGTGTGGCTTGGCTGAGCTTCCAGTGGGTGACCAGGTACAAGTGTAAGCAGGACTGGGGCAGGAGCTACAGAAACACATCTAACAAAGAAGGAACTTAATAAGACAACTATTGAAATCAGGTGTAACATGAGTATTCAGGGAAGGGAGCATGCAGAGGTGTGTGGAGGAATTCCTGGAATGTGTTTTTTCACATATCTCATCTTGCTCTCTTTTTTTAAGACACACACACACTGGTAGAGGTGAAAGTGGAGCTTGGGGTCTGAGCACAGGGTCAGCCATCCGTCCAGTGCCACTGGAGCAGTGAGCCTGGCCGGCTAGGATGCGTTTGTTCCCCTGTGGTTCCCCGCGCTGCCTGGAACAGGCTCCATGCCTCACCGTATCCCTAAACTGAAGCCGAAGCCGCCATGTTGAAATGACGACGCAGGGGAATCTCGCACAACGAAATTCTCTCCAATATCAACATCAGAAAAGGGGCGTGTTTCTGGCAGGAAGTGACTTACGACTCGGAGATAATCGAATGCAGGATACGACCCCCACCCCTCCCGGTGTTTCCTTAGAGGAGCGATTGCTCTCATATGCCTTGTCCACATGTACACGGGTATATTTTAAAATGGTGTTTCTCCTCTTCCGTTAAAAAAAAAAATCCCCAGCCACACGAACATTGTCTTCTAAAAAATTTCCGTCCACATGAAACCGCTAAAAGCAGGCCAAACCAACAGGTGGCATAACTCTAACCGTAATGTTAGCCAATCAGAAGCCTAATTGCCAGTCCTGTTGAAAACCATGCCGCACATTCCGATGCCTGTGTTGATCAATATAATGCGAGAGTGACTCAACATTTATCTGAACACATGTAAGAAGTCCTGTCAGCAAGGTTAGCACAAGCACTATTTCAGCTAAGTCCGCCATTGCTCAAACTCGCCTAATGTATACAGCAAACAGCGCACGCTCTGACGTTAAACAAAGTGGACAACGGTGCAGAATCTAACGTTTCGAGCCAAAAACTCCATTTTCCCTGTCTACATGTCGACGCTGAAAACGGAGTTTCTTAAAATCTTCACCCTGGATGGAGTTTTGCAAAAGCTCCATTTTCAGTGACCTGAGACGCCGTTTACGTGTGGACAAAAGCCCAAGACGTATAGAAAAAGGTACGTTTTAAAATATACCCGTGTACGTGTGGACAAGGCAATAGTCTCACTGATATTGAGCGAACTGCAGTTATCAGCTTGTAATATGCCCTCAGAAATCGTTCATGTCACCTGAAAAAGGGATGACATGTGGCTCTGTGGGTCAAATTAGAACCATCGATAGGTTGTCGGTTTGAATCCTGTGCTCAGCAGAGTACAGTGCTGCGTGCTGTTAGGAGGCTCAAGTTAGCACACACTTATATATAAAAAAAAAACATTTTCACGGGCCCTTCCTGAGCTGTACTTGCATTCAGTCTAATTAGTGCCGGCCCTAAATCTGAGTGAGTATACACATCGTTGTATGGCCCTGTCAGTGCTCCCTACCGACATCAACCAGTCCTTTGTGAGTGTGTCCCCATCACTTCCCCAGTGTGGCTGTCTCACACGCTCCCCTCGTTAATTATTAAATGAACACAATATCCAGGCTGTCGCCGAGATGACGTGTATAGCCAGCCCCCACCACAGCACCGGGCACCAGGAGAATCCCTTTCGGACGCTTCAACAACATCGACGACGACACAAGCAACAAAGAAAGCGGAAGCGGCAAAGACCGGAACACGGTCGCCTTGCAAAATTTCACATGGGCTTCTACATAACTACCTGACCCTACGTGAGCTTTGCCTGCAACTCTGCTCTGCCACCTGGATGCCACTATGGACTCAGGTAAACAGCAAACTTCTGATTATCCTTTGACTATCCCACTTATTATTGTCCAACAAACTGCCAGACATCCACTGCATGCACAATAACCGAGTAATTAAATGATGAGACAGAGAATGAAGGCAGAGGAGAACATTAAGGCGATGAATCGCAAAGCAAAATAAATTATTAATAAGGCTTCCAAAGGCAACGTGGCATTGAATTACTCTTAATCCTGGTACAGTTCAAGCCTGATGACACGTCTGTAATGGAGGAACGGAACCACCATCATATTCCAATGATTTTTTAAACAGAAATACGATACTGTCCTTTACCAAGTGGTTTATTTCTCATTAAATCTCCAGTAAATGTTATAAACTGGACCGTATTGCTTTCTGCCATGACCATAAATTCATTAAATCCAGCTTCACATCTACATTGTGCCATTAGGGGGGGGGGGGGTCATAAAACAAGACTGAGGCCCCCGCTTCACTCCGGTATATCTCAGTTCTTTCTGCTGACCAAATGTAACCACCAGTAGTTTCTTTTTGAGACCTTTTTGGGAAAACTCAACTTGCAGACTCACATAGTTTGCATTTTACTTTTGCCTTTCCTATAAAAACCACACCTACAGGAAACTACCCTTTGTATGAATTTGGTTGTTACTTAAATAGTCATATGGAAACATTTTCAAATAAAGGGCAACAGAAATGGTTTGAGTAATTAAGGTTGATCAGCCTCCCAAAAACCCCTTTGGAAAAATTTAGCCGGAATTCCACTCCCTCCTTCCAATAAATACTTATCACACCATTTCCCCTAGATCTTCACTCCTCTCGCTGTCCGATGGCTGCCATGTACCCAGTGCATGGGGGGGGGGGTCACTGAGCGGGTCTGGGGTGCTGGCGCTTCTTTGACTGCCCTCACAACAACTGACCTCTCTTGCTCTGGGTGGGGCCATCCTGCATTCCCTGCTTCTTTTAAAGCATCATACCAAATTAGCACCCTCTCTACCACACACTAGGGTGACCACCTAATCCATGTCAGGAGGGACACTATGAGCTACAACAGGATTTGTAAACTACCATTTCATACATTTCAATTAAAAGGACCAGGATTTCACTTAAGCACTGGGTTCTTGCCGTATGCTGATTGGTCAGTCTCCTATAATCATGCATATGTGTCAGTAATGTTAATGCGAAACAGCTGGATGAGTCTTTCCATCTAGGAACTAACCAAACATTTTAGCAGAGAACAGAACCCTTTCAGCTTTAAAGTAGTTCGTAAAAGCTGAAGTAACTCATAGTGTCCCTCCTGACATGGATTAGGTGGTCACCCTACCACACACACACACACACACACACACAAGTTGGTCTTCCTATCTAAATGGGGACCGTCCATTTATTTCTATGGGAAAAACCCTAATCCCAATCACGACACCCTTAACCTCTACCCATCCCTAACCTTAACCATAAGTAACCAACCCAAATACCAGACTTTTGGCATTTTTACTTTTTTGATTGCATTCACAGATTTTTATAAAACTGAGGTTATCTAAATGGGGACCTCAAAAGATGTCCGCAAAAGCAGGGAAACTTCAGATTTTACTACACTTTGGGGACAATTTGATCTTCAAATGTGATCTATGCAAACTCACACACACACACACACACACACACACACACAAAAACAAGCCCCAACACCCTAGAATAGGGCGAGCATGACATGCAGGGTGGGGCCTGTCTGGGTTAGAGTGCCTTGAGTAGGCGCCATCCTGGGGGCGACAATGTCTCACCCCCTGGCCTGGTCATGGTGTGCAGCCTACTGGGGGGTCCTTGGGGAACTTGGGGTGAGTCATTGGGCCTTGGCTGGATACAGGGATAACATGGCCAATTAACAACCTCCTCCCCCCCAGTTAATTCTCTTTTTGATCTATTTTTTTTATTGGTACCTCCCAATATACAGTATTGCATTACCTTCCCCAATGCACAAAAAAGAGAAAAGTACTTTATGTATCCTCATAGTCTGCATACATGCTGCAGAGGGTATAGACAAATAACGGTTCTGTCATTGTATTTGGTTTTTTCCCTTCTTCTTTCATATGTTTCCTTTTCGGTTCTAATTTAGGATCCACTGTCACCCTATTGTGTGCTTGTTTATCTTGTGATGAAAATAAAAAAGAAATTCCCTCCAGAGCAAATCAAATGGCGCATGCGGGGCTTTTCCCAGAAGCTAACAAGCACCCAATTCTTTACCCCTCTAGTTTGTGCCTCCACAGCCAGTCCAGCAGAAATTCCCCCCACCTGCCCTGAGAGTGCACCAGCCTCGGCTCAGCCACAGGTCCCACCACAAAGACCCTCAGGACCTGTGGAAGACCCCCCACCTTACTCACCCCCCTACCCGAAAACAGATTGCTTCTTCTTCCCAACACCCTGCCCCCACTACCCGGAGCAGCCAGTGTTCTACCAGCCCCAGTTCACGCCCTCGGCCAGCTACCCACCCTACAGCATTGTAAGAGCCGCCACACACCAGCGCCTCTGCTGGTTCCTCCTGGTTCCTCCTTGCGTAAGCAGCTGAGTTTCACAACAGTGCCCCCCCCCCGTATTGCGTCAGATGTTGCGTCAATGGTCCCGTGTCTTGCATCCCCTTCGTGAGAACCTTCCTGTTCTATTTCCAATGGCCAGACGGGCGTATGCAAATGACATGGGATCAGAACTGCATGAACGACATGAGACACCGAGATCTAGGCAGGGGGACCGCTCGCCATTCCCAAGGGGGTTTAAGGTGCAGGTACAAGATGCTGTCTGGCGGCCAGACTTTGTTTCGCTTGTTACTGTGCTTTTACAAAGGCAAATAGCTCTTCACCATTTTTACTGAGCAAGCATATTCGACTTCTGGAAAAAGCGGTAACAAATGTGAAAGCACGAGTGCAATACAGCTCCTGTTGACACTACTGAGCTGTTCCGGTGACTCATGCTCAAGTGATCTCTTATTTTTGGCTCCTTTCAGTATGTGAGCGGGCCGACCTCAGGTCAGGAGAACAGCTCCCAGCCCAAGGACTACATGGTGGAGTCTCTGCTGGTCACCATCTTCTGCTGTCTGATCAGCGGCCTCGTGGCCCTCATGTATTCATATGAGGTGAGGTCCACTTTAGCCGCGAGGCCTCGACCAGTGGGGGGGGGGTCACTGCGACTTCCTCGTCCTTTATTTGTTCTGACCCTGTGCCCCGGCCCACCCAGACGCGTGCTGCCCTGGCCCGGGGAGACCTCGCAGAGGGGGAGCGGGCATCCCGCAAGGCCCGGCAGATGGTTCTGCTCAGCCTGCTTTTTGGGGTCTGCACGTGCCTGGCCTGGATCCTGTATGTGGTGGTGGCCCTCTGTATCTAATAAGCAGATAGTTTCTTTATTTAGGTGCTCAGTTCATAGCATATGTATTTCTGCCTGCCATATTATATGTATTCCAAGGTTCATCTTGCAAAATTAATGGGGAGGTAGATCAGGAAACAAACTTTGTATGCATGCTGACAAAATTAATTTATGAGGAAATAAAGGTGAGGCTTTGTGTGTATAGTGAAGTGTGTGAACAATGAAATGTAGGAGGCATTCATCTAGCCCAACATGTCAATCTTTCCATCACACAATATATTTTGGGGCCAAGGACCTTCTTGGTACAAATTAGTGGACCACTCAGCACTAGAGTCTTTACAGTCATAAATCTCACCTGTACTGGGTTCAGAGTAATCAATGAGAGCAGACCAAAGTGAGATCATTTATGGTGTTTTTAAAGCTGCAGTTTATTATGTAGTATCAGAAAATACAATTTAAAAACAATTGGGTTCCATTAGCTACACTGCTTGGACCCTAAGAGAAGGAATGGTATGGGGTGGGGGGCAGTATGCAGGAAGAACAGAAGGCACCGGAACAATGAACAAGTTACTGAAAGAGGGTCTTTGCTATGTGACTGACATTCGACAACGAAGTCCGCAGATATGGTGAGCAGTTCTTGGAAAAGCGTGCAATGGCTTAAAGGGGTGGGGATGGGGGATTAACATGGAAGGTGAAGATGAAGAATAGGCAGCGTATGTTATTGGCCTTGATCGGTTGCTGGGGGCCGTGAGTGCTCAGTTATGATAAAGCCATAGGTGAAAGGAAGGCTTCATGAGTCAAGGAATTAGTCATACAAGATAGAGACCAACACTGTCGTAACACAGACGCTCCTCAGTGCTCGGGTGCTGCTGTTATTTATTAGGCAAAGACTGAACAAACAGGAACACTTGCAGGAGATCATGCATGACATGAGGAATGTGTGATTCTGAGTTACATCAAGCTAGACAACAAACATACCCAAGCAGACATCATATGCTTCAGTGATCCGTATGTGCAAAAATACTTAAAGCTTAAATTGGAGTTTTAAATAAAATTTTAAAAAATGTGATCTCAGGCCTCAGACCCATTATGGATACACAATCTCCTTTATAATGGTTTGGGTTTATCAAAGTATTTGCTAACAGAGCCCTTTAAAGCCTTAAGTTATTTCTAGGATTGTTACATTTACTAACAATCCAGCGTATCATTTGAACCTCAAGTTTCCAGTAAATTTCCAGCACATCATCAGGCATGTTACACAGTGTTGTGCACACATCACACAAACTGACCAGGGTAACCTGAGCTCAAACCAGCCACGTTTCGCCAAAGCTTGGCTTGAGGTGTGTTAAGCGCACTGCTGCATGTAAGATCCACACAGGGCTAGAGCTCAGTGCAGGGCCCTCATATCCCTGCCTTAAGGCCAAGTGTGCTGCCGGTGCTGGGATACCCACACCACTCTCCTGTTAAAGGCATTAAATGAAAACAACACACGCGTTGCCATGCAGGAGCTAGTGATGTGGCCAACAGGCCGAACTGGCTGAGTGGTGAGCTACAGATTTCCAGGCATGCTTTTGACGTGAAGCAGCTGGGCGGATCATGCCAGGGCAGGTGGACCAAGAAGAGGGCGATTTCACAAAAACAGCAATACATCAACCAGCAGGATCAGACGGCGTTGTTAACCACACCAACTTCACAAGAGACTGGGGCAGACGATGTCAGCAGTGCACTGGTATTATTCACATTTACTCACTTTATCTGTCATATGTGGTTGCCCCTGGTTATTCTTACACTGACTGCAGAATAAAATCTAAAATGAAAAGTAAAATAAAAGCCCTGGAGCATTTCAACATTTAAAGGCTTCACATATGTCCAGATTTAAATTATTTTACTGCAAACACTTAAATTCCATAGGTCATTTCCTTTAATCTTTATCAGTTTGTTGCCAGTAGGTGTGCAGGTGTGTGTGTGTGTGTGTACTTATACGCCCAGCCAGCCTGCATCAGTCTGTGGGTGTCCATGTTGTCACCCATGTGTCCGCCGGTCCTCATTAGCTGAGCAGCTCCAGGTACGTGACGGGCACCTTGCCTTTCTGGTTACCCTTCTCACCCATGAGCCAGTCGGGGTCCATGCCGGGGACGGTGTAGACGGTGATCAGCTGGGGACGGGAGCAGGAGGGTCACAGCGATGCACGCGCAGACGCAGGCAAAGACGTGCGCGCGGACGCAGGCAAAGACGTGCGCGCGGACGCAGGCAAAGACGTGCGCGCGGACGCAGGCAAAGACGTGCGCGCNGACGCAGGCAAAGACGTGCGCGCGGACGCAGGCAAAGACGTGCGCGCGGACGCAGGCAAAGACGTGCGCGCGGACGCAGGCAAAGACGTGCGCGCAGCGGCCGCCCTGAGCCCTCACCTCGTCTGCCAGCAGAGAAAGCTCGCTGGTGTCTGCTGCGTCATAGTCATACAGCACCTTGGCTTTACGCGTCCCCGCGGCGGGCGCTCGCACATCTTCCAGCTTCAGCATGTCCACTGTAGCCCCTGGGGAGTCCTCCACAGATGGGGGGGTGACAGAGGCCCCCATGGAGACAGAAGGGTTCCCAGCAAACATGTTGGGGAATCTGGATGAGAGGAATGAAGACCGGGCACAGGCCTCAGATTACATACAGGTCAGCTTTACACTACGTATGTACAGCTACACCTCCTGCTTCCAACCTAGGTAAAGGTCTACTTACACGTCTCCATCAGAACTGGGAGCACAAGGGGTAAAGGAGGAGGACAGAAATAAGACACAGCTTCCATTTGTGGCGGGAACATAGTATGGGGTGGGGGGGGGATCTCTATGGACTGCCTCCCAGCAGAAGAGCTGGTGACCAAAGCAGCAGCTGGAACATCACGTGTCTCTCACCTGCCCAGTTCCTTCTGCAGGTCCTGCATGTAGCGGTGGCACTGTGCATAGTAGATGGTCTGGGCCTCCACAAACTCATGCAGGCAGCGCAGATGGTTCACCTGCATGAGTGGAGAAGCGAGAGCATGGAGGATCCTCACAGTCCGATTGGGCTCTCGCCAGCACTGGAGCATCACTCGCTGGAGTTTAACCTACTGCATGTGTTCTGAGACGGACTTTTTCACCGCAGCAGGTTCCGTACTTTTGGTCCAATACTTTCCTTTTTCCATTGACTTCTGGTTGAGTACCAGTAGCGAAAGTTCCAGTACCTAAAGTACCTAACCAGCTGGGGTATTTTTTTTTTGGTAGTTTGGTACTTTGGGCTGGGACTTACAAACACTTTCTTTATCGATTCGTTGTGTAAAAAGCCTGCCTCTGAAAAACAATATAACCACCATCTTGAAAAAACTTACGAACTCAGAAAATGATAAACGAAGTTAAAAAAAAATGCGTATGACTATCTTGGAGAATGCATGCAGAAGCTTTAAACCGATTTTTAAACATATATTAGATCATTTTGAAATGGAATAATCATCAAAATTGCAAAGCTTGCCAAGGTTTTTTTTTTTTTTAATGACAGTAAAAATGTTTCAGCGAAAATACGGAATGAATGTGTGGAAAAAGCCTGATCTCAATCTAGTCGCCTAGCGATGCAAAAACTGCACATGGAAAACACGTCATGTTGTATTAACACCACAAATTGTCTAGGCCTATAATATACAACAGACATTTTTCAAATTCAGTACAAAATACCCAGCTTGCCATTCAGAGCCGATACCATGTTTTTTTTTTTTAAACCAGTGGAAAATCAACACCTTGAAGTACCGTACTTTTGGTGCAGTACAGTACCTGGTGCAGTGGAAAAGCGCCCTCCGTTTCTTTACAGACTGGTTACTGGCTGTAGATCAGATTAGGGGCAGACGCTGAACTTACAGCTAGTGGACAGTGACTATTACATGAGAGATGGCTTCATAAGCAGAAGGGGTTACATGCTTTGGGTGCACAGGTAAGCAAGGAAAGCATGTATACAATGCATGTCCATCATGTTCACATACAGCACGACACGTGTATTGCAGGTATAACTGTGGTGACATGTACACGCATACTGTAACTCACATGTGTACTGCTGATGCCTTCCAGGAGCAAGCGTGTAACCTCCTTCTGTCTGTCGAACTCCACCTGTGCTACACGCAGTTCATGTTCAGCCTGCAAGGGGCACCAGACAGGAGGAGACAAGCTTCGGTTTCCATGTCTGACATGGCAACACATGGTAACACACTCATAAGACAACATACATTTCAGAAATGTAAATACATAGAAGACAGATACCACAGTTCCAAGAGTATCTTCCGAATAGTGTGGAAAGGTTCCGGAACGAATATTCACAATAAAAATAAGAGGCACAAGATTCCAATATGCCTACACAAGGCCAAGGATTTCCCATCTCTATAGTGATAGTCAGCATCCCTTTCCCTTAACAGGATGATCACTGAGGCTGAGACAGGGTCTTGTTAAAGAACGCTCAAGTCACTAATGTTATGACTACCGGATTACATCTTAAACTCAACAGCTTGATCTGATGTATATAAAACAATGCCTTGCCAAGTAATTGTACATCAGTAGGAGGAAGGGAGAAAACATGCCTGATAATACAATATGCGCCTTTATATGAAATACGCTAGTCCCTTGAGCTGCAAAAATCTGCTGCTGCCCTCTAGTGGCACACAGTCTTAATAGGCATTCCTCTGTCCATTTGAGCAAAATCAAGCTTGTACCTGGCAAAGGCTGCATTTATTCAGCAATTAAGCCAAGCAAGGAGCTTAACCTGGGGTGCCCAAACATTAGCATACGGCTGTATTTGTGTGTCTCCCGGAATTCAGCAGAGGCCTCCTGATAAGATTCCAGTATCTTACCACCATAATAATACACATCTCACAAGCAGCCATCCAAGTCTAAGCCAGTGGCACACAGACAAAGTTTAAGGACAGAAAGCTGTTACAAAATCAGTCAGATCCTGAAGATCCAACATGTAACTCCCACAAAATGTATCCAAGGCCTGTCACCGGGGAGTACTGAAACGGTTTTTTTCTCCCCCCCTTCCAGATACAAGAAGGGAACAGACAAAAACTGTCCAAAAAAGAATAAACAAAGGACAGAGTCATGAGCGAAGGGGGTACTGCTAGCATGGAGACGGGATACTCACTTTGTCTACCTCTTCACTCCAGAGCTGGAAAGCAGCATGGCAACAGAAAACGGGAGGTGAGAGACACAAAAACAGCGGCGAGGACATCACAGTGAACACAGTGGCCTCCAACACTCCCTGTCTGACAGGCCCACCTAGGGCTCAGTGTACGATTAAGGCCAGCTGGTCGGAAATCAATGCTTCTAGGTATGACATTACATTATGGTGGTCATACCCTGCAGATACTCTTGTGTTTTTAAAAAACGGGACACAGCTGTAACCTCAGTAGCCCCAGGAAAGATTTGAGGCACTGACAGTAAGAGATGCATGAACACAGGGTGCTCTCAGTGCTGTTCACTCGTCTACCTTCTGGAAGCCCCCCCATTATAAAGAAACAATTAAAGCAGAATCATAATTGGTACCAAGCTCAGTTAGAAGTGGTGACAGGAGGCAGCACACAGAACCACACAGAAACACACACAAGCGTGCTGACGTACAGGGGCAGCCGACAACAAAGGAAGAGAAATGACTTGCTGGCATTTCGGTGACTGAAGAACAGACAGGCCAAAGGTGGGGGGGGCACGCTGTCAACTGATACCATGGGGACAGGGAAGGCCAGAGAGGCGGAGACCGACAGTGGAATGTTCCTCGTGACGGCAGCAAGTCGAAACTGAAACTATTTACCGTCGTGGCAGGTTTGTATAAAGCTATGTAGTGAGTCCTCTACAGTTTAGCAACGTACAAAGAATGTAAAAAAAAAAAAAATAGATATGTAAACAAAATAAACAAATTCTCATATCAACCTAAATATATATTTGTGGCTACTGCTCCGTGCACAATCCACCACTGAAGATCCGCTGTGCGCTTCTCAATGGGGGGCTTGTACATGGATCTCCAACATCCTCATGGGGAAGATCCAGGCCTGATGAAACCTGACCACCTAGAAACCGCCAGTCCACTCAGTGCCCGAAAATGAAGGAAGGAAGGAAGGAAAGAAGGAAAACCACCAACAACAATCCAAAGTCCACATGTCAGTCTTTAGGGAAATAGACAGGGACAGGCTTAACAGAGCTCAGTTTTAGTATGGCTCTCTATGGAATCTGGACATGAGGCATTTGCCTGCCGGAGGTCAGTACTGAAAAGAGGTCATGACCATGGTGAGTTGGGTCTTGCAGGATGTTAACGACTTTGCCCAGACAGGGATGGTAATGCGCAGCCAATGACCCTCTGCGCTGTGTTCACGCTGTCGAGACTTCGAACGGGTTGGTTGAAAAATATCTAACTCGACCGAAAACTCAGAACGCGACAAAACAAAACAGATCAGCTAAATCTTGTACAGATCGAGACGCGTCTTTGGTGGGCCAAAACAAAGGCAGACGGACCTACTGGGATTCTGACAACTAGGAATCGCTCTGTCTCATGGTACAATGTGCGGAAGCAGAGTTCCTGTGTTTGGTGTGAATTTTTTGTGCCTTATCTACAGTATCTTTAGTGATACAGTAATTATGGCCCCTAAGACAGTGAGCAGTGATAGCAGCAAACAAGAGGAAAGTAGTGAGAGTAACTATAGAACTTAAAGCAAAATGAAAGGGAGACTTGAAGGTGGTGCATGTGTGTCTGCTCTCACTTCAGAGTATGGGATTGTAATTGGGAAGTTTATCGCTTTTGTATGTGCGCTTTTTCATGTGTGTATTACTTTTAAATTGATTGTTAACCCTCTAAATCAGGGGTCTCCAACGCCAGTCCTGGAGAGCTACTATCCAGTAGGTTTTCTGTCCCACTTGGCTTCTGATGAGTCACACCTGTTCCTGGTATTTACCTGAGAACAGGTGTGGCTCATCAGAAGCCGGGTAGGATAGAAAACCTACTGGATGGTAGCTCTCCAGGACCGGAGTTGGAGACCCCTGCTCTAAATCATTAGTTAAGTAGGTAGATAAGTTTAAATAGGCAATCATTTGGTCAGGAAGAGATTCAATTAATTTACGTTATTTCTTATGGGGAAATCTGAATTGGACCTCCGCCAAATTGCAACTCGACCAGCCTCCTGGAACGAATTAAGATAGTTTTCCAAGGTACCACGGTATGTGGAAGTTTGGGGAGAGAAACAAAGGAACAATAATATGAAGGGTGGGCAGGTCAATAAGGGCTAAAAAGTGTGGAAGAGAAAATCCCTCTGCTCTATCAGACGGCACATGAACAGGGTGCTCCGCAGCCCACTGTGCAATCTAGTTCTGTCCCAACTGTTAAAGACCCCACCCACCCTACACAGAGAATAATACCAACTCTATAAATTAACTATAATAATTAGCAGCTGTCAGAAGTGCAGCGTTTATGCTGCACAAACGTAATGCGCTCCACATTTGAAATAAGCACCACTGCTATGGGACGTCGGGTAAACGCACAGCTGACCTTCCAGCCCAATGCACCTACACAGCCCATTCCTTAGCTCTGCTGCCCCCACACCTTTTAAAGTGCCAACAGGGATCCCACAGCAAGGACAGACAGAAGCAGCAAGTGATTGGCGGGAAGCGAGCGGCAGAAAGACCGGCCGTCTGAACAGCCACATGTGCGGGTATCGGTCCTTACCGCAGCGGCACTGGCAGACAGAACGTAATTACGTGGTCTAGTCTCCTGAAAATCAGGCGTGGCCTAAAGGCAGAGGGGTGGAACAGAGTCTTACACAAAGGTATCGGCAAAGACCGAGTCACAAAGGGTTATAAAAAAAGAAGAAAAAAAAAAAACGGTGATACAACACACGCTGACAGACACCACTGGATGCAGAGTCAGGAAAAGGGGGTCGTGACGACCTGCACCTGGTGACCTCTGACCCGAACCCTCATCTGATCTCCAACTCACCAGGCCATTTTGGAGCTGCCTTTTCCCCGGTCAGAGTGGAAGCAAATCTTAACCTTGAGCAACTTTACGTTTGTGTTGCGATAACTGAAGTGCTTGTGGATTTCCCCCAGTAAACCCGAGACCACAGAAAACCTCACTGCTTCACACTCAGCCATAATCAGACAATGCCGGTCATTACCAGCCAGGTCAATGCAAGATTATGCAGCTCGGATTTTCACTACAGCTTTAATTCCACCATCAACTGACACGCAAACAGGAACAGAAACAAACTAGGTGACAGTGTGGGAGAGAGGGTGACGATCTCCCACTAGGAGATCCAGGGGCACCACACCACACAAACAGATAGTGTCTCCATTAATTTACATTTAAATAAGAAGATGCTTTTAACCAAACTGACGTCCATTTGTGAGAAAGCAGGGTTGAGCAACTGCGGTGGAATCAGTCCGCTAACCCAGAGATTAGAACATGCGATCTTCCGATCACAGGCACAGCACCCTACCCGCCATCGACGACGGAATCATTCATCATTATCAATTGGTGTGCAACCCAGACATTGAGACATGGAGTCAGACACACTAAGTACAGTATTTAAAACTGATTCAGGCCCAGTTTACCAAGGGTCACCGTTTTGTCCCCTTTCCCATGTGGATTCAAAAACCAGTAAAGACCATCAAAACCATTTCAAAGCATTCATATGCTTTATTCCACCCCTAGGGAGCAGCACTCTGCATCCATACTCACACCATGCAGTAGAGCAAGTGAAACTCATGGGTGACCATCAATGTGGGGAAAGAGCTGTCCAATTAAGGTGGTACATTTCATTCAGCAATAGTACATGTGGGAATGGAGCATTTAGCCTGGAGCGGGAATGCAGGCTTATCTAGACACATTGTGTGCAGTTTTTGAAAATTAAGTAAACAAACCAGTGGTGTGTTAAAGGCTATCACACGGCTGATGAATGACTGGTCTGGAGAGCCAGTGAAAGTGCTCATTACCAGACTTGTGTTTCTACGAAAACAGATAAATAGCCTTTTTGCATTGGTGAGTCTTCACTTGGCCCTTTGTCAGTAACGTACCAAAGGTCAGGTTTAACAGCGCCCACCGTCCCCAGGAGAAGCCCGTACCTCCCTATGCTGTCGCAGCTCTGAGTGGATTAGCGATCAAACCTGACCTTATAACATCTCAAACAGAACAGGGGATAAAACAGAAGAATACAAGAACATTCCAAAACGAAAGCGTTTCCGTCTTTGATCAGGGATGTAGGGCATGTGTATAGCAAGATGTAAGTGAAGTGAACGCGAGATGTGGTATAAAACATGACTCCATCATGGGAGCGCCAATGAAGGAAGACTCCTGTGTCGGGATTAGACACATCACAATGGAAATGCAATCGTCTAACCATGGCTGCTGGCCCAGCGGTGAGCTGTCCATTTGTGATGCACAAAAGCCAGAAGGTTCTAGAGGTTATGTGAACTTCTAGAACATTCCCTCAGCTTCTCCACATTCAAAACATGTTAAAGACATTCAAAACAACTTTAAACCAAACAGCATAATCATCACCAAACATTTTGGATTTCATAATTTTTTTCTTGTTTTCATACTCTACATAAAATAATTTTCCAGGAGAAAGCTAAATGCATGAATGAAGGAATTTGATTATTTTCGGGTGATGACGATGGCAGGAGTGCAGACCTCATAAACCATTCAGAAGCAGGCACCATGAGAAACAAAAAACGAGAATGGCGAACACAGCCAGGCAGGCAGTAGATGAGCTCATACTCACTTCTCCCTCACACTGTGCAAGTCACAACAGAGAAACATGTTAGTGCATCCTATTTAAGGTCAAGACGGGGGCAGACATGCAGGACACCCCACGCAACTTTCTGTGTGCTCTGATCAGTACTGTAAGATCCCAAAGGTTTCAAACAGACCAGCTACTCTGCACAACAAGGCAGACATTCTGTGCATCAGCATCACTGGTACTGAATGGTCTTGCTTCTCGTTCATGGATTTTAATACTTAAATTTTCATAATAAATGTTGGACACCGAAACAACAAGTAATAATGCATACAAAAGAAAAACTTTCAGCTGGACAAAACACTAACTCCTATAATAATTTACATGGTTAAACATGGCTGGATGTTGTTTTATGTGTGTGAAAATAAAGCGCAGTGCTGTTTATACAGAGCCACTGACACAGCAACATCTGCATGGCATGCGGTCAATGTGTCACTGCCTTTATCCAGCTGAATTCTGAAAGACCAGCTCACACCAGAGAAGGGCAAAGTACACGGGGGTAGGACTGTGGAGGGGCGCAGACAGTGGGCAACATGACCAAGAGGAATCTGGGGGAGGAGAGGGGGGGGTAGTGACAGTGAGGGAGAGGAACAGCTCACCGCAGCCTTGGCCTCTGCTGTCTTGGCCTTCTTTAAGCGAGCTTTACAGGCATCGAGGTCTAGGCGCCGATTCTCCAGCAGGCGGCGCTCTCTCTGCGGGGGTAGAGAGTGGTATAAAAGATCCGGTTTTTGTTTTTGACCTTCTGCCCTCATTAGACCCAAATGAGACCACAACCAGAGACACTGCAGTTAGATATGAAAAATGACGACGTCCCCAAAACACTCACGGAGATGGTCCTCCAGTCACCCTCCAAGAAGTTGCGTAGTGGTGTGAGGAACGTGAGGGTGGCGGTCTGGAGGAACTCCCTCTCAGCCCCCCCAAGCCGCTTCTGGCACTCTCCCACCTTTATCAGGGTGCTTCCTGTTTTCAAAAACAGGAGAATCAGGATTTCAAAATAACTCTGACGCGAGTCAAGCGTTTTAAAATCATCATGGCACTTAACCCTAAATCCTTAACACCACAGCCCACAGAAAAAAGTTATACAATGTCTTATCTAGAATAAAAGCATTTACCTGAACAATCTAATTATTACTTACTTGAAATATTTGTTTACATTTCAGGCACTTGGATATTAATCAATCTGTATTTTTCCTAAGAAGAGGTTTTTTTCCTTTTTTTTCGTGTTATATTAAGTTCAGCAGAGATTTATAGACCTTTTTTTGTTTGCCAGTTGGAAAACATTTATGTAAATAAAACCATAATTCATTCTGACTTTCTGTCTTGAGTTTTAAAAAATAGAGTTATTTTAATAATATTGATATACAGTGGTACCTCAGTTCTCGAACTCATTAGAACTCAAATTTCTTAAATGTGGAACCAACCAGTTCGAAAAAAATTTTCCTAGAGCTCGATCTGAATCTCAGAAGTCAAACTGTGAACGCCGACCTAAGATAAATTGTATGCGCGGGGAAATGAGTCACGCAGCATGTCTCTCAGCGGAAACAAAGGGTAACGCTTCAGTCTCATCCTCGCATTCGCTGTGATAGCATCGTGCATGTTTACACTAGCTGAATACATATATTTAGACAGTAAAAATACATTGACAATGAGACAGTAAGAGTAATTATATAATAAAATACATTTTAAAATAACGATTTCTTATTAATTATTTTAATATTAACAACAAACCATTAATACATTTCATTATAATAATATTATTGTGCCGAGCAGGACGGAACAGAGACAAAGGCGCAGACGTCAGGGTATCGGGGTATACGGGGTTTAATTACAGGTAAGGCAGGCAAAACGCAGACGGCCAATACAATGTGTGGAAACAAAATGAAACGTGGACAAAATACAGAGGGCTAATGAAAACAACCTGAAACAGATGATCACACGGGGATTCCAGACGGGGTTAACGAGGGGGTGTGGTGGCACACGGAAGCAGCGGAAGATCGGGGCAGGACACATTGTTTTTATTTAACTTTACACATTGCTTGGATACATTTATTTTCTTACTTTACAAATTACTGTTTTGATAAATGTGCTTAGATGTGTTTAGTACAGTATATGCTCTTCTTGTTTTATCTGGTTCATTTTGTGTTTAAATGCTAAAAAAAAACATTTAGGTGTAATTTTTTGGGGCGGGGAACCAATTAATTGGTTTTCCATTATTTCTTATGGGGAAAATTCGATCATAACTCAAACTTTTTAGGATTCGATCCGGAGTTCTGAACGTATTAAATTCGAGTTCTGAGGTACCACTGTATATATACCTAATATTGATACAGTGACCTAAAATACAGAGATATTCTTTTTCAGCCATATTGCCCAGCCCTACTCACAGCAAGCTATTACAATACCCTTAAATACCCAATACACAATCTCTTAAAACTAATCATACACCAGGGCAGTGTACTGGGATAATACAGACGGTCCGATCAATCAGCAGCCGATTTACTCAATCGCCGGCCTTTACTTTGACCAATCTCAAAATACCAATTTTGCGAATGACGTCATGCACTCATGACTTAAAATACGCGCATGAAGATTCAAACACAGCAGTGGCACCGTCGTCTCCAGGTTCGGCAGTTTTACCAGACATATATTAAAGATAAATGATGTACAAAAGAAGTTGCTCGTGGAGATCATCTGCTAAAGCATTCAACACTATGAACCTCATTAGACATCTGCGTTTTCACCAAAGGAGCATGAGAAATATGAGCGCCTGAATTTATCTTTGTGCTCTGTGTACATGCATGGAAAGGGAGCGGGCGTTCGGGACAGCTGCACGAATTCTGGAAGAGGAGAGAGAGAGAGAGAGAGAGAGAGAGACTCTCTCCAAAAAATCCAGAGGTTTGTATTTCTTTAATAAAAAAAAAAAATCTATTTTTGTTTCTTGGAAATGCATACAGTAGGCCTGTTACCAAGGGCCAAATTCTGACTTTTTGAGGTAATAAGTGTGCTTTTACCCTGTGATCAGAATGAGCAGTCCAGATTCCAGCAATCGACAATGGTGATTGGCCCCAAAAGACCTTGATCAGAGATTCCTATGGGATAAACATCCCACTCACCCCCCCTAGTCGAGAGGCAGAGGTCACCCGAGGACAGGCTGACAGACAGGCTGAGGAATGCATTCAGGGATCTATGAAAACTTTTCCCCTCCACCACAAAACATATGCTCTAGCATCTTCCAGAGCTACGAAAAGGCATCAGCCAACAGAAGCATATCACCCCCGAAAGGGAACCATCGATCCACTGAGCAGTCAATAGAGTCAGGAAGAAATGCAGAGTGATTCAGTGCCATGACAGATGGGAGCCGATGCAGAGGTGGGTGGGTGGAGCCGCGGAGCACAGAGACGATACGGGGACCTTATAGGTCACTGACAGCTTGTTCCTAAATTTCTCCTGTCCATGTTAGGAGCTAAGGAGGTGTCTAAATCAAAACGTCTTTTGGTCATTGTTTAGTTCATGTGCTCTATCTCTGAGAAGAATCTATGTAGCTAAGTGTCATTTTCAATAGCAGAACTGATATGACCCAGGGTACAGCACCACAAATATAATAAAAGAAAGCCAATAATCCTTCCAGACAGCTAACGAGTCCTCTGCCTTTTCTCTCCTCCATTTGCAGTGTCCAAATTGTTCAGCAGCTTGTAAACACAGAATTTCCTCTACAGCTGAATAACTTCCATGTACTGAAGGAGCCTGAATGAATTTCTTGGAGTCACCCTGAAACTTGTGTAAATGTAGTCATGAGTGGAAAAATGGGAATGAATAAATTCATTATTAGGTTATCTGTGTGCATGGTCAGCTCTTACATGTCATATAAAACCAGAAACAAACAAAGAACCTTGAAACTACAAAGCTAACAGAACTCTACAGCAATTTCTCAACCCATTCCTTGGGAACCCCCAGACAGTCCACTTCAAACAGGGAGCTGACAGGGAACAAAGATGTGGACTGCCTGGTGATCTCAGGTGACGAGGCTGAGAAACACAGCTCCACAGCCACATAACACAATCCTAAAACTCAAACACAAGTGAATGAAAAGGAATAGAAAAGGTTATCAATTCATAGTTAACTCCTCTGCCACAAATGCACTGAAATACCAGCGTCAGAGCAAGGGATCATGGGACACTATAGGTCACATGGCAAACATTTAGGCACAACACAATTATGGCGAGGTTACTAAGCAGAGACTAAGTGCAGAAAACAAGGGGTTTCAGAAAGACCAACACTGCTAAGAAATACCCTGCAGCTACAAGAAATGCTTGGTTTTTCATCTGTCAAACTGCAATCTGATGCCAAAGACCTCCGCCCACCTGTTTCCTTGGTCAGTTTGCCCTCTTTCTACTAACATTACACTTTGTCTAGTGTTTCAAGGACATGATGTTCTGAAGGGTCTGTTTGGTAAACGATGTATTGGCCCAAGTAGCTTTCACAGCAGTGAGGCAGGGCAGAACTCCAGTGATACTATGAATATAAAGATTGTAAAGTTTTGGTGAAAGAAGGTGCAGAACACGCATATTAGTTCACATCAAACACTTAAAACCTCTAAAAACATGCAGAAATATCTGAGATGGAAAAAACTGCACAAAGGGAAGGCAGGTGGGTAAAAGCAGTGAGCGGCAGCAGAACATCGCAACCTTCAAAATGGAGTAATAAACCTGCCCTCACTCACCATACGGGCCCCCGGCCCCAAAGTCTCTGGCTGCCTCATGCATATAATGCCCCAGTATCTCTCCATTGGTGATCCGGGATGGGACTTTCTTGTCGAGCTTCTCATAGAGGAACTCCTCAATCCGGGCGCCTGAGGAGGAGGGAGTGGAGGGGTTTACAGTCAGCCTGATGCAAATAAATACACAAGCAGTCCCACACTCACACTCACACGCATGTAGACCTGGCAAAAGCAGCAGCTGCCAACTGCTAAGGGGTACGGGGCCTGTACCAACCAGCACTAGATACGGATCGCTATAGAAACAGGACACAAAAGGGTTAGTCACCCCATTCACAGGATAGGGCAGCGTCGCCATTGCGAGAGCTTTCCTGAACAAAGGAAACAAAAGCCAGTTGTTACTATTCACCCGCACATGTGGGTCTCCTTCCCTTTGCCTGTAAATGACCAGTAGTGGGCAGCACCACACTCCCCAGCAGCCAACAGTGACTAACTCTCCGCATGTGGGCAAAAGCCAGGTGACATCATACCAACAAGACAGGACACATGTTCCGAGACACGAGCAGGCCAACGCGCACACGCAGCAGTACACACGTGACAGACATCAATGGAAAATGACACCTGCCACACGTACAGTACGTCTTTCACTCACCAACCCAGAACAGAGCACAGCACTGGAAAATGGCAGAAAAACCAACCGCCACAGCAAGGCAAACAATCACATACGAGCCTTTGCATCTGGGAAATTATACAGTACATTCAACACTGTAAATACGGTGTGTCAGCCACTAATGATTCAACCCTTACACTCAAGCCTGGAACTTGTTACAGCCGCAACAGACCACCTGTGATGAACCCAACAACCTTTATGAAAGCTGTAAAATAAAACTAACCAGAATGCCAAATATCATGTCACAATCTGAAATGGTTGCAGCTGACAGAGGCCATGTGAACGCACTGGTATGAACCGGTATCCACCAAAATATGAAGGCCTTCCTTAGGTTACACTTTAAAAATGCTGTTAACTGACAGGGCCATACAGTTTTTGTTAAATACCCCTCTGCTTTATTATCTATTGGACATTCGCGATGGCAAAGACAGGCTACCGTGACAAAAGCTTTAAACAATTTGTAACGGTGGCCCAAATGTAAACAAAACACTGATAGGAAGGAAGCCTCAAAAGGCAGAGAATGATCAATTACCATTATAAAAATGGCTCACATATCAAGTAAAGGCAGTACGAGGTCAACATGGAAACAATGACCCAAATTAGATAAACACTATATATCTATATATCACTATATTGAGCACACAGAGGGGATATAATTCATCCATCCTGTTTAAGTGGTGGGGGTGGGGGGGAGACCTATCCCAGGCAGCATTAAGTGCAGCACTGGGGTATGCCCTGCACGGGAGGCACTCACATACTCACTCACATACTCACTCACATACTAGGCAATTTAGAGACCCCAGTTAACCTAACTGCATGCCTTTGGACTGCTGGAGGAAAACCACATGACATGAGAACAAACAAACTACACACAAAGAGGTGGGAAGGAAAATAAAACAAAATTTAAAAACAAAGAAATTCACTTTCCACACAGCAAACATTTTTTATGGAAAGGAGAGAAGAGGTGGAGATTAAAAATTCCAAGTGTACAACTAACGGATGGCATAGATCCGCGGATCTCACCGATAACGACCAGAGGTGCACCTTAAATTACAAAGCACTATTTATCTGGAGCTGTTGCTTTTTGACTGTACAAAAGCAATTTATTATTAATCTGCATAGGTCTCTAACACTTGATTCAGATCCTGACTATTCATAAATATGCATGACTATAGTGAGCCAGAGATCACACACATGAGCCCCAGGAGGTGCCTCGTAGTTAATTTTAGCCGCTATTACTGTCCTCAATGATGTCACTGAATGTCATCACAGAAACCCTTTCTGGGGATAAAGGGGATATCAATACATTCTGACTGGGGAGGAATTGGTGCCCTCCAGTTACCCAAAACTGGCACAGTATTTCAGCTTTCATCACAGCAAGCAGAAGGGTCCACCATACTACCTGAAAGCGGTTCTTAAACAGTGGCTGCAGGGAATATAAGCCAGTATACTTTCATCTAAGATTGCCAAACAACATGTATAAAACATAACATTAATACTAATAACATTAAAACGTCTTCAAGCCCTAAAATAATAAAAGACAAACATATAACTCTGGTGCTCATATAGTGCCCTGCACCCAGCTGGAGAACCACGAAGTCCAGCTAACACACAGTCACTGCAAGTCAGTGCAGCCGCAGCTGGCTCCAGCCTCCCACAGAGGGCGCCGAGAGAAGAGGAGGGGACTTACCTGTTTGATCGACTGGAGCATGGAGGACCACAAAAGCAAAGGTTAGACTGCCCTGGGACCCAAATCAAACTGACTGTGCAGCAGAATGACAGGTAAGGTGACGTTACGGGCTCAAGAGACGTGGCGCATTACATTAAAGAGTAGCTTCACTGGCAGTCACTGCTGATCTACACAGTGCAGCTAGGGGACAAAATGAGAGCACGCAGTGCAGCTACAGGGCACAGACAGGGGCCCCTACGGACAACCTTGGTAGGCAGCTGAATGCAGTCAGCCAGGCAAGGTGCCCATTCAGTGAGTGCAGCATAAGTATGCTAATTCAGGACAGAGTGAAATCAAAGGACACACACTGCAGTATTAAAGTTGCACTCCTGTAGCCCCCCCCCACCCACCCATGACATGCTCTGCATATTGGCTGTTCTAATTACTTAGCAGAGAAACACAGGGCACAGCCACCCAACCCAGGAACACTGAATGGAAAAACTAATCCTGAAATTAAATTAGTCTGGACTAAAGGGCAGAGTGAGGCAGTGGGCAGGAGAGTCACCAGCCAGCCCATGAGAGGTCTCGTGGAAAATTGTAAAAATGAAGAGGAGATGAGACACTGAACAAAAAGAGGAAAAGAGAAGAGAGGGGGAGATGTGGAACTGAGTTACAGGGGTAAAGATAAGCCAAACAGAGTGTGCTGACGAAGAAGACAGAAGGATATTAAAAGTGTGCCCTCTCATGCCTGGTCTGCACTGCCTTGTTAAGGAGGGAACAGGCCCAAAGGCTTACTTGGGTTGGGCTGCAGAAGGATCTCTGTTTGCCGAAAAATTCTCTCTGTCCAGTTCTTGGTGGTGTCGCCGCGAGCGAGCAGGTTCTCCAGCTGGGAGTCCAGTTCAGTCTTTTCAGCCTGGCCCAGCTTCTCCTCCGTGAACTACGAGGAGGAAGGAGAGCAATCAGCATGGCTGCTGCCAGCTAGGATGAAGGCAGCTTTCACAACCTCTGAATGGTTCATAAACTTCCCATAATAAAACCATCTATATAACTAAAAGAATTAAACAAACCACAACCCGATTCTATCATTTGGGAGAACACAGGGAGGTCATGGAATTGTCATACATGCACCCATGGGCGACATTTGACTCTTGAGTCAGGGGGGGCAAGAAAAACATTTTAACGAGTAGGCATCAAAACAACATCCTACCATAGTGAAGGGCTAAACGTCGTCCACCAGGCGCGGCATCAAAGCGATTAACGGTCTTATCCAAATCTACGTGAATGGTCCGTTCAATGTTAAGTACTGCAATGTCCGAGAGTCATTTTCATTTAATTTTC